ACAAATGAATGAAGTTTATACTAGGGTTGGAGAAATGAACAATGCTGTGAGAAACCTCCAAGAACTCTTAGATAGTTCATCTTCATTGTGTGTGTTGATGGACACAGTTGGAAAATTGTGTAGGCTGATTAATGAGGATGTGAATGAACAGGTTATGCAGGTATTGGGACTTGAAGACCTCCAAAGCATTATCAACAAACTGGAAGAACAGGAGGAATTTTTCCCAGCATTTCAGGCATTTACTAATGATCTTCTTGAAATCTTAGAAATTGATGACTTGGATGCCATTGTACCTGCAGTAAAGAAATTAAAAGTACTTTCATACTATAACAAGTTACCACAGACTGGGTGGCTTATAAACAACAGAAATGTATCTCTCACAGTTCTGGAGTCTGGAAGTCCAAAGTCAGGGTGCCAACATGGTTGGGTTCTTGGTGAAAGCCTCCTGACTTCTTGCTGTATCCTCACATGGTGAAAGGGGCGGAGGAGCTCTCTTTTTTAAGGGCATTAAGCTCATTCGTGAGAGCTCTGCTCTTGTGACCTAATCACCTATCAAAGGCCCCACCTCCTAAATACCATCACGTTGGGGATTAGGATTTCCATATAAGAATTTTTGGTGGGGGGGCACAAGCATTCAGATTACATCATAGCCTGTTTCTAAAGTAATTCTAGATGCCAGATTATGTCCTTTTGTTCAAAACATGGTTTTTCTCTGTCTCATAAGGTCCTTTCTGTCCGGAACATGACGATTGAAGCTATTCTGTTTTCTTGTCTGAATTGTGCAGGTTGGACATCTTTCCCAGTCATGTTTACAATATTACCTTGGGAATTTTTTTCCTGTTAGGAATCTCCATTTGGCATATTCCTCCAACAGCCATTGTCAGTTTAATCAATATTTTTTTTTGCCTCTAGTCACAATCGCTTGCTCTAATAATGACTAGTGTCATCCTGTCTATCTTTGGGAAAACTTCAGTTACTTTTTCAGCTCATTTCTAAAAAGATGTCATCCAGAAGTTGTGAACTCTCTTTTAGGCATTTTATTAATCTCCCTATCACAGGCACCTGGCACATGCCAGGTAGTTATTTAATGTTTATTTAAATGAAGGAATGCATCCATGGCCATTACAGCTCTACCACTTTTTTATTTTTCTACTTGTTCCCTCCAATATGGTTCCCTGTTTATTCCTCAGAAGACGTAAAGGCATTCTGTGTGTGTATATATCCCTAATGTAGCTACACCAGCTATATAATGCCTAGGTGGGAAGCTAGTCTTATGATCTCTTTCAAGATCACATGACTGTGATGTTTGGGCTAGACAAAAGCCTTTCTAAGATGGTTGAGCACAAGAGTGCCTATGTTCTACCGACAGCTGCCATTAGAAAAAAAATTATTTTGGACATTCCAAGCTTACTGATTGTTACTAGAGTCTTATTCTATATGAAATAGCTTAACTGTTACCTAGCAGATCTTTAAGGTTTTAAAAATCATTTTCTAAATCCACGGTTTGGTTACTTTTTCCATCTTATGGAGCAAAAGGTCATTCTAGTTGGTTGCACTAAACTTGAGACACTTAATAGAAAATTCATAAGCCAGTTTTTCTTTTGTGAAAGATGCAAAGGTTGATATCTGTTATAAATAAAGGTATATATCTTCTCTTTTAGATTACTGCCTTAAATTGCACCTAGAAAGAAACTGGTAGTTAGTTGACAGTACAGATCACTGATAGAATAGCCTTGATGCAGTAATACTGTTAAAAAAACATAATGAAGGTGGCTCACACTGTAGCACATTGAAAATACAAATTTTAGGGGCACCTGGGTGGCTCAGTTTGTTAAGCATCTGCCTTCGGCTTTGGTCATTATCCTGAAGTCCTGGCATTGAGCCCCACATCGGGGTCCCTGCTCAGCGGGGGAGTCTGCTTTTCCCTCTGCCCCTCACCCTGCTTGTGCTCTCTCTCTCTCACACTCTCTCTCCTAAATAAATAAAATCTTTAAAAAAAACCCACAAAACTTTAAAGCAATGTGATTCATGAAGCACAGCATTCCCATGTAACATGTTCTAGTTGTAGCTTGATGGGTAATTATAAACCAGCAATTTTTTCAAAATTATATTTAATGTATCTTTTGTCATCTCTGATAGAGTATTTTTATTTGATTGGATTTTTATATTTAGTAAATTAGCAGTTATAAGGCTAGAGAATTTGCTAGGTCTTACTTTCACAGTCTTTACTGTCCGTGTTAGAACAGTTTGGAGGCATTTTTTTCAGTTTTATTGAGGCATACTTGACATAAATAAACTGCATATTTAAAGTGTACAGTTTGAGTTATAACATGTATGCATCTGTGAAAACATCACAGCAATCTAGATAATGCACATTTACCACTACCCCCTTCCCTCAAATTTCTTCGTGCCCCTTTGTGTTTCATCCTCCTTCCCTCTGTTTCCCCCTCTCCAGGTAACCACTGGTCTGTTTTCTGTCACTGTAGATTAGTTTGCATTTTCGAGAATTTTTTTTTTATAAGTGGAATCATATAGTGAGTATTCTTTTTTGGTCTGGCTTTTTTCATTCAGTATAATTATTTTGTGATTCATCCACATTTTTGCTTGTATTATTATTTCTGAGTAGTAGTCTACTGTATATATGACAGTTATACTGTGCTACAGTTTGTCCATTTACATGCTGATAGACATTTGAGAGTGTACGATTATAAATAAAGCTGTTATAAGAAAACAAATAAAGCTGTTATCAAAGACATTTGTAGAAGTCTTTGTATGAACATAGACATTTATTTCTCTTGGGTAAATACTTAAGAATGTGATGGCTTGGTCATAGGGTAGTTATAAGTTTAATTTTTAAGGAAATTGCCAGTTTTACAAAGTAGTTGTGCCATTTTACATTTTATATTTCCATCAACAGCCTTTAAAAATTCCATTTGCTATTTTGGAGTGACTTTTACATTCATAGGCTACTTTTGGGGGGTATAGAGAGAGACAAAAATATTTAGAAGTTTTTTTCTCAGAACTTTAGGTAAATATTTCTTTGGAGAATTTATGAAAATCTGGAGCTCTTTTCAGTGAGACATAATCACTGTGTTAGTCTTTTTTCCCTTTAGTATGAGAAATAGAAGAAAATATTCTTTGGATTTCATAAAACGAGGAAAGAAATACTTTTTATATTTGGAGAGTTTGGTTTTCCAAGTGATTGCTAAGATACTGTGAATCAGATATTAGTTTTATAGCATTCAGTGTGACTAAGTGTGGAGTTAATAAAAGTAACTCTGGAAATCTCTTATAATAGGTTATATAAGAATTTTCTTTGAAAAATCTCTTAAGTCATCTATAAAATACAGTGTTCAGAACTAAGATTTCTAACTTCAACATAGTTGTTTTTTCTTCCTCCAGCATTAGAAGAAATGAATATTTATTTATTTGCCCCAATGAAGTGGTTAGCTTGCATGGAGGTGCTATGTCTAATGAAAACTGTGTAATTTAAAATTCTAGAATTCCATTTAGTTTGATGTGCAAGGCATATGGGAATTGATATAAACTGAGGAAACAGCAGATTGATATTTTGTGCTCACTCTGGGTCATAAGCATATGTTTTATTGAGAGGAATGGTGGGTGGAACCTCCTGTATTGTTTAGATTTCTTTCTTTCACTTTTTTTTTTTTTAAAGATTTCTATTTATTTGAGAGCATGAGCGAGAGAGAGCGCACGAGAGGGGGGAGGGTCAGAGGGAGATGTGCTGAGCAGGGAGCCCCGTGTGGGACTCGATCCTGGGACTCCAGGATCATGACCTGAGCCGAAAGCAGTCGCCCAACCGAGCCACCCAGGCGCCCCTCTTTCACTTTTTTTGTTGTGTGCAAATTCTCATAAATTAAATGCACATATGATAGGACTGCACTATAATATATGGTAACAGGTGAAGCTGGATGCAAATGGAATTAATAATGTATTAAGAATAGGGTGGCTGATAGGAATGTCTACTAAATCTGTGTCCATTGGCCATCTTTAGCTTTACCTCAAGAGATTAGCAAGGATAAGTAGCCATCGGCGCCTATTCAGTGCTGCTTTTCCTTTCTTTTCTGGCTCTGCCTAGATCGTTTTCCTCCTCTCTTTGCTTGTGTTGTCTATGCTCTTTGGTTATGCCCCCAACTCCTTGGTGTTCTTTCATCTCTTCAGTATCAGTAATATACTTGTTTTCTCCTTAGAATGCTGCCAAAAACCATAGATATAAATCAGTGGTGTGGTTTATATTTTATAGTTTTGTTGTGTATGTAAGATAAACTAAGAAATTATTCTAAAAACTATGTTCCGCTTTTATGAACCTGAACTTTTAACTGTTTACCAACATTCCAAATGCTTCTTGAAATATTAAAGAAAACCCTTTAGTTGCCTAACTTGTAAATGCATTGTTTGATTGTTGTATTTTCCTGAGAATTAAAAATGTGGATCTCTTTAGCCTGAGTAATCAAGACCTGAGACAGTGTGGCACAGAAGGAAAGTTTACTTGTCTGTGTGTCGCCAGGTCCTGGGCTCCAGCCCATTCTGTCATTAACCCACTTTGTAATCCTGGGCAAGTCATATTTCTTATCTGTAAAATATGGGGAGTAGACTTGATCATCTTGAAAATTATAAAGATTATCTCTGATGCAGGGGAAGCAAACTTGTAAAAGAAGTTGTTTTAAAGATTTTATTTATTCATTTGACAGAGAAAGAGACACAGCGAGAGAGGGAGCATAAGCAGGGGGAGTGGGAGAGGGAGAAGCAGGCTCCCTGCTGAGCAGGGAGCCCAACGTGGGGCTTGATCCCAAGACTCTGGGATCATGACCTGAGCCGAAGGCAGACGCTTAACTGACTGAGCCACCCAGGCGCCCCAAAGAAGTTGTTTTTATAAACATTTTATCTTGTTATATAAGTTGTCCCTGAAAATTAATGGTTTAATTATTAGAAATGATGTATAATCACTTTTGAATTTGTGTGTATCTCATCTGTTGCAGGATGCTTTAATCTGGATCCCAATAGAGTTTTGGATGTCATTTTAGAAGTGTTTGAATGCAGGCCAGAACATGATGACTTCTTTATATCTTTATTAGAATCTTACATGAGTATGTGTGAACCGCAAACACTGTGTCATATTCTTGGGTTCAAATTCAAGTTTTACCAGGTAAAAAAAAATGTGTGTGTGTACACAGACATCGATAAATCTCATGGTTTTATATGTATAACTTAATTTGAATTTTATTTGTACATGATTGGTTTCAGCTTAGCCATTCTAGCAAAGCAGGTAGATAAATGGATAGCAAACAATGCCCTATGAGAAGTACTATATTAGTAGTATGAATGGTGTGATGTGAAAGCCTAGAGCAAAGCATAATAGATTTTTGCCCTGGGAGAGATGGAATCAGAGAAGACTTTATAGATACAACTCTTTTTTAACCCAGTCCTTGAAGGATGAGTGGGAGTTTGTTGAGAGTTGTCTTTCGAAATAAACTGAATGAAGACATGGCAGTATGAATGTATATAACCAATTGAAGAAATGGTACATAGTCTGATGTGTCTGGATTGTAAGATATAGGGAAAAGAAAGAACAGGAAGTGAAGTTGGAAAGGTAGGCATGCTTTAGATTGTCAAAGGTACTGTGTTGAGTTAGAATTTTATTATATAGGCAATGACCATAGGAATTTTTTTTTGGACGTGGATAAATTCTTGAGGCATATTTTACATTATTTTTCACTTAAATCACTATAATAATTAGCAAGTCTGCCTCTATTTCTCTTTCAGTCTGTCTTTCATATTATTACTACTGTTATATTCTAAAAGAGATCGAATTGACCACTGCTCAGAAACCTTTGCAGGATAAAATTCAAACTTCTAAACATGGCAGAAAAGGCTCTTCACAATCTAGCCCCATTCTTTCTTTCCAGCCTCATATTTAGTGGTTTCCCCCCCTCAAATCTAATATTCTAGTCCTATTAAATTACTAGCCATTTCCTGAATTTAGGTATAGACATTACTATATATAGACCTTTATTTATATGCAGTTCCTTATAACTAGAAAACTCTTCTTACTCAACCCTCTCACCTGTCCTTTCCTCATCTTGAGGACTCCTATTTATTCTTTAAGATCAAGTGCTACTTGCTCTGTAAAGTCTTGCTGGCACTTCACCCATGTGGAATTAGTTATTTCTTAATCTCTGTTCTCATAAAACTTGACACAGACTTCTAGCCCTTATCAGGTTATATTAGCATAAACTATATCTGTGTCCTTTGTCAGATTGTGAGCCATTTAGGGTGGGGTCTATATTTTAATAATTTCTCTGGATTAATTTACTGCTTAGCCTATAGTAAATGCTCACTAACTGTAAATGAGTGATCTATGTTTTTAGGAAGATAACTTTCATGATAGCATGGAGGATTTTAATGTAATAAGGCCTCTATTGTCCATCCTTTTGGTATAGCTTTCCTAATTTGTCTACCTGCCTGGGATACTTAGTCAAGAAATACTCATTTATGGAATGTTTATGATATGCTGTTGCTTTGCTAGGCACTGAGGATACTCTGGTAAAGAGGGTCTTTTCCTGTCCTCTGGAGCTCAAATTCAGGATAGTAAGATGGTTTCTTTTAGGATTCTCAAATGATAACACCACCTACTTACTGCCTCTGCTTATCTTTTATTTTCCATGATCTGGGATGCTCCAGAAGAGAAATCAGATCAGAACTTAGAGCATTTTGATACCAAACAAGACACATGGCAGGGTTTTTAGGCAAGAGTACTTCATCTTTGTTCAAAAATTAGTGATGGCAACTTTCCCCATTCCTACCAGCAGCCAGGGAGTCCACTCTTAGTACAAGGAAGAGAAGTTGAAGTATTTATCACAATTTAAGAGGTACCATGATTGCTTTGGGTTTGAGAACATGAAGCCAACTGCTAAAGTGACAGGGTAGCTGAAATTTAACTTGGGCTTAATTAATTAGAATATAGGTTACAGCTTTGGAGACTGTAGGTTTCAGAGCATATTACAGTGAATAATGATGACCTACTGCATAACATCAAGTATTATTAGTTGAATGTGAGGTTTAGAATTTAGAAATTTTTATATGAAAATATTCCTCATAATGGTAACACTTTTGAGCTGAATTAAAATATCCCTGGGGGGTTGACAGTGTTGGAATAATCTTTTTTTTAATTTTAATTTTTTTTAAAGATTTTTATTTATTTATTTGACAGAGAGAGACACAGCGAGAGAGGGAACACAAGCAGGGGGAGTGGGAGAGGGAGAAGCAGATTCCCCGCCGAGCAGGAAGCCCGATGCAGGGCTCGATCCCAGGATCCTGGGATCATGACCTGAGCCGAATGCAGACGCTTAACGACTGAGCCACCCAGGCGCTCCATGGAATAATCTTTTTTTTTTAAATAGATGATGGGCCTTTTCCTTATATAAGAAATACCCAGCAAGGAACATTTGATTTAGAAATAACCTATTATTGGAAAGAGTAACCCTTATATTGCTCTGTGTAACACCATTCCTTTGTTTCTATTGCCTGAGCTATCTTGTACAAATCTGCAGTCTTAAGGACCACTGAGGGTAGAGGAAAAAATGTCAAAGATTTTTGATAATTTGTGGTCTGAGAGGTAAAAGAAGGACAGCCATGAAAATGAAGAGGTGCTTAGGGCACGTAAGCCTGGGAATTGGCTCCTAGGCATACATGGTCACCCTTATGTATTGGTCCCTTGCCTTACTCCACCCTTCCCTCTTCTTATCATTATCTGAAAATGTTCATTCCCCTTGCCCACAACCCATGTTTTCACCAGTTGGGAATTATTTGGATGAACAGGCTTCTTTTTTTTTTCCCCCCCTTAGTGCTAGGACTTCTAGACAAAGCTGATTATTTATGCCATGAAGTCAGTGAGAGTGATTTTATCCTAGTTTCAACCTGGGATCAGCTATACTGGATGTTTTGACTTGGAAGGGTGGCAGGGGATGTAAGCAGTTTGAGAGCACACTTTGGAAAATTTGGCGGGCACATCTGCTTGATTCTCCTAATAGGGATGGCTATGATAGAGGGCTTAGGGACAGCATGAGGATTAGCACAAAGGACAGAAAGAAAGGAGTACTAGAAAGTGTGAGGGAACCAAAAGATAAACTTCGCTGGAGTTGTCTTGCCACAGGAAAGAGGAAGGAGATGATGACTCTCACCCATATCACAGCCCCTTAATTTCTGGATTCAGAACACAACAATAGTAGTAATAGTGGTATCATGGCTGGGCATTATTATAACTTAAATTCACTCACTTAAGAGATATTGATCGGGGGCACCTGGGTGGCTCAGTCAGTTAAATGTCCAACTCTTGATCTCAGCTCAGGTCTTGATCTCAGGGTCATGAGTTCAAGCGCTGCATTGTGCTCCACACTGGGCATGGAGCCTGCTTAAAAAAAAAAAAATATCAGTGGGGCACCTGGCTGGTCCGGTCGGTGGAGCACAAGACTCTTGATTTCGAGGTTGTGAGTTTGAGCCCTACATTGGGTATAGAGATTATTTAAAAAAAATTTTTTTTGGGGGGGAAGTATTGATTGAGCACTTCCTATGTGCCAGGTAGTGTTCTAGGTGCTGGGGCTACATCTGTAAACAAATAGAAATTCTTGCCTTCATGATGCTTATATTTGAGGTAAATTATATGGTATGATAGAAGGTGTTCAGTGAGATGGGGCAATAAAAGTGTAGAGCAGGGTAAGGAACAGTGGGAGTGGTGGAGTGCTAGGTTGCAATTTTACATAGACTAGTGAGAGTATACGTCACTGAAAAGATAGATATAAGCAATGAAATGAAGGATGTGAGGTTTAAACTGTGCAGATATCTGGGGAAGAGGCTCTAGGCAAAGGCCTTAAGGTGTGAGCATGCCTGATGTGTTGGAGAACAACAAGGAGACCAGTGTGGCTGGATCAGACTGATCGGGAGAGTGGTAAGAGATGTGGTCAGAGCTGAGAGACCACATCACATAGAGCTAGTGCTGCAAGATTTTTGGCTTTGATACTGGGTGAAGCTATTGGAGGATTTTGAGTAGGAGAGTGATGTGATCGGACTTAGTTCTTTCATTTTGTTTCTCTTTTATGTTTTCACTTTATCATGAACATTTTCAAACATACAGAAAAGAGTGGATAGTGTAATCCCATCACCTAGAAGTAAGTTTATTAACATGTTGGTATACTTGTTTTGGAAATATTAATTTATATTACAGATATCATGAATGTTTACTCCTAAATACACTAATTTGTACTTTTTAAAAGTAAGGACTTTTTCTATATAACCATGATACCAGTTTCATTCTTACTAGGTTGCTATTATATAATAAACTCCAACCATATTCAGATTTCCCAAATTGTCTCCCAAGTACATTTTATAACTGTTTTGTTCAAACAAGGATCCAGTCAGAGGCCATGTGTTTTATTTGTTAGGGTTCTTCAGTCTCTTAACTTAGAATAATGTCCCCTCTCATTCCTTAATGGCATCGACTTGTTGAAGACACCATTACCATAGAAGACTGCATTATTCTTCCAAGCATTAGATTTATCTGATTGCTTTTTCATGGTTGGTTAAATTTGTTCTTTGTCCCCCGTCTGTCTTATGTACTTAGAGTTAGGTCTCAGAGCTTGACTATGTTCAGGTAAAATATTTAATTGCAAAAGACTTCACAGATTGTGCTTTATGTTTCATGTCACGTAACATCTCATGCCTGTCTGACTTTTAATGTTCCAGTAAGTTGATGACAGTCTAATCCCTCCATTCAACAATGACATTTCCCCCCATTTTAATAGGAAGTTATCTGTATGTTGATACTTTGACACCTTGTGAATATCCAGTTTTTCATTAACCTTACATTAAGTGGCTTAGAATACATGAATGATCCTTGCCTGAGTCAGTTATTTCCTTAGGTGTTCCAAATTGTTGATTTACTGATGTTATCATGCTTTCCACATTTATTAGCTATCATTTCTCTGTAAAGAAGAGTTGTCCCTTATTAACTTGGGTTGCTTGGTTACATTGAAATGCAGTTCCTACTGGAAAGGCAGGATGAATGCTTCATTCCCCATCCCCCCCTTAATTACTAGCTATCATAGTAAAGGTGACATGAGCAGTATGTTTGTATGTGAGAGAGAGATAAGA